TTAGACAATCTGCTTTTGAAAAAGATTATTCTAAAGTTTATGAAGCTGTTCTTGGAGAAATGAAAATGTCTGCTATTGAATATCCTATTCCTGAACATGGTTATTATTTAATGAAATGTGTTTCTCATTTTATGACTATGGTACCATTTTTTAATATTATGTGTGCTGATGATATTGAACCAAGAATTGTTTGGATTCATAGAGAACCTGTTGATGAATATAAATCTGCTTTTTATTTAATGTTGAATGGAAGAAAAAAATATCTTGGAGATCTTGGATTAGATGACTATAAATGGTTACAAGAAAGTATTTTAAAGATGAATGAAATTGTTTTGAAAAATGCTATTGCTACAAGAGAAAAATGGATTGCTGAAAAACCTGAAAGAGCAAAACAAATTTGTGATATTGGATTTAGAGAAATGATTACTGATCCTATTAAAGTTAGTCAAAGAATTTATGACCAATTTGGATTAGAATTAACTCAAGAAATGAAAGATTCTATGTTGCGTATTAAAAAAGAAGGTGATCCTCAAAAAGAATATGGTAGAAAGGAAAAAAGAAATGAAGATTTCTTTATTCCTGATAATGAGGTTAGAGAACGATTTAAATGGTATTATGAAAAGTTTGGACAATTTATGCCAAATTATTGGGGAGATAATTAATTTCTTTTTTTTTTTAAATTTGATTTGAATATTTTAAAATAGTTTTTGAATTGCATATCATTATTTGTTTCTCATTTTAAATTATTATTCTCTTTGATATGTTATCTTTGTTTTATTACTATATGACTAATACATCTAATAGTATTCTTACATGAAAGTGTTAATATCTTAACATATATAATTCGAAATAGAATAATAAATATAATTTACTGTATAATTACAAAACATCAAATTATTACTAAATTTGATATGTTCATTGAAATAAAATTTAAAATATTATTTATAAATTATAAAAATAAATGGCAAAAATAAATTATATGAATTAGTATTTATAATACTTCAATTTGATAATAAACAAAATAAAAATTATTGAAAGAAAATAAAACAATGATTCAAGTACAATTATTGAGTCTAATTTTTTTTTAGGTTCTTAATATTTTGAATTTTAACATAATTTAACAATCTAAATAAAAACAATAAAATAATGTCTTTTTAAAAATGTATTCAATTGTATTTAAACTCTGTTTAAAAAGATACATTAAAATACACAAGACTTTAGTATTATTTATAATCATAAAAAATAGTTTTTTAAAAAAGAATATATTAAATATCAAAAGTAAGATAAAAATAAGTGAAATTCTAATAAGTTAAAGAGTAGTTTAACACAAAAGATTAATTAAGAATAAATAAAACAAAAAAAAAAGAAAATAAAAAAAAAAGAAGAAAAAAAAAATAAAACCCTGAAAATAAGAAAAAAACTCACTAAAAAAGAGAAGAAGAATTATAAAGTTTGTTTGATAATATAAATTGATAAAAAGAAAAAAGGGTGAGGAAATTATTAATAGATGAATTACTGGTCAGGAATGTTTAATTTTTTATCATTAGAATCACCTATAGATACAATATTAAAAGAAGAAGGATGTACATTAGAAAAGTTACTTGACATTGAAGACTTTATTCAAGAAATACGTACAAATGAAGAATTAATTAATTTTTGTTGTAAAAAGGATAATTTAAAAAAAATTGTTCAATATGCATTAGGAGATATACCAAAAGGATCTACATTTGAAAATACACAAAAATATGGAAGTGTTTGTGCATCATTATTTGGAGATGAACCAACACGATTAGTTGAATCAATAGGAAAATCAGAAAAATTGATAAATTATTTATTTAATACAATAATGAAAGAAGAAATAACAAAAATAAGAGCTGCATCACAAATATTATTATCAATATATAAAGATAGTACTTCAATAATGTTTGATATGTTAATTAATAATGAAGAAGTATTAGAAAAAATGATCAATCATCCAGAGATAGATGGATTAATTGATAATATATTAGAATTAATGAAATTAGAAGACTCAGGAAAAACAGGATATATTGAAAAGATATGTAATCATCAATTTATTAATAAAATTATGACAATATTTATGACTACACAATCAATTAGTGCTATTGAAAATATATCAATGTTTATTCATTCTATTGTATTATGGAAAGTTTCTAATACTGATTCTGATACTATTGAATTTATTAATAGATTCAATAATGAAGTTATTCTTCCACAATTTATTGATTTTATATTTAATTCTCAAGATGATTTCATTGTTTCTCAAGCATTTCATATTGTAAGTAATATTCTCGCTTGTTCTACTATTTTAACTTATAATGATGAAACTCGTTTACCTGGTATTTTTAATGCATTACTTCCCCATGTTAAAGACTTTGAAAATATTATGAAATCAAGAAGAGTTGGAGGTGTTACTAACAATTTAATTTATATTATTTTATCATTGGTATTAAGTGGATTTCAACATGTTTATGATGTCATTGCTAATGAAAATGTATTAGGAGCAATGATGGATGTATTTTATGGTGATCATTTATGTACTGTAGTAAGACAAACTATTCAAATGACTGTATTGTCTATATTGAACAGTAGTGTTGAGAAATTAAAATTAAAATTAATTGATAATGGTAAATTACTTGATGTAATGAAACAGAAAGACATAGATGCAATTGAAATGAAAAAGAATAAAAATATTGCACCAGACTATTGGTTAATTGGTTCTCTTTTAATGGTTGCACTCGTTAATAGTGTAGAAGGTAGAGATGATGAAAATACTGTGAAACAAATAGTTATGGGAAATAAAGATTTTATCGATTATGTTCATTCTATTGTTATGGAAAGAGAAACAGAAAAGTCTGAATACTTCAGTAAACCAACAAACGATGATTTTTCTGATGAGTTTGAAGAAGATGATGACGACGACTATTTTGATGATTCAAATGATGAAGATGATGAAGATCCTGAAAATGAAGATGATTTTGATGACCAGGAAGATGATTTTAAATTAAGTTCATCATCAGATGATGATGGAGAAGAAGATGATGATGAGCCTGAAGATGAAGAAAAGTAAATAATTCGATATAATAGAACTTTAAAAATTAAAGATTTTTTTTTTAAAGAGTCAAAATAAAACAAGAAATAAACAAAACTAATTTTTGATTAAAATGATTAGAAAAGGTAACATTTAGATTTTTTTTGTTGTTTTTTATTTTCAACTGGGACAGTATCAGTGTCATCTACTACACACATTTCAGCCACTTCAAGTGCCATACATTTTAATGCCTCTTTACATCCATCACCAGTTTTTGCTGAACAAATAAAGTAATTTTTATATGATTTATCATTAACAAATTCATCTGCATCTTCTTTTGATGTTTTAATATCATTTAAATCACTTTTATTTCCAATAAGAACAACAACACATTTTGGAGAAGCATAATAAGTGATGTCCCTTGCCCAATTTGTAAGATTTTTAAATGACTCTTCATCACTAAGATCGAATACTAAAAAGATACCACATGACTTTCTATAAAATGAAGACGTTAAAATCCTAAACCTTTCTTGACCTGCTGTGTCATTAATTTCTAATTTAATAGTTTTCATTTTACTACATTCAGGAATATCAACATCAATTGTTTTAAATGTTGTAGATGTAGAAGGTTCTTGCTCATCAAATTTATCTTCAGTAAAACGAGTTAATAAACAAGTTTTACCTACACCAGCTTCACCAATGACTAATATTTTATAATTAGTTGTTGTAGAGTTTTTACTAATAATCATGAGTCATTTTCTTTTCATTAAAAAAAAGTAGAAAATAAACAAATAAAACATACTCGTATTCCATAAATTCTCTTTATTATTTGAGAATTTAGATGAGGGGTTTTTTCTTTTTTTCTATGTTTAAATTATTTATTATTTTTATTTGTTTTATTTAATGTCTTTAATACAGACTCAAAGGTGGCATATCATAGACACCACATAGAACCCTAAAATGAACCAATATATTCAATATTCTAGTTACTATCTGGTTATGGTATTAGATTTAGATAGAAGTCATCTTACTCATTCTTACAAGAATAATAATGTTTAATAGTTATGACAATGATGGAATATCATTTATTATTATAGAAGAGTGAATATTTATAAAGATGATGGTATTATTTATTTATCAACATTCAAGTAAATTGATAATCAATGAATTACATTGAAGATATTATTGTGTATTATCAAAGAAAAAAAGTGGTATTAATGTTGTTGATGGTACTAAATGAACTTATGAAATAACAATGGAGTGATTTGTTCATTCAACATAATATAATGAAAAAAAAGAGTTTTAATACACAATAAAATCCAAATAAAGAAGAGATAATCACTTAAATAAAGATTATTTAAATTGATGAAGTTTGCAAAGACTAATAGAAAGTAAAAAAAAGAATAATGGATGAACAAATACTCATAAAGTTTCATATGACCAAAGAAGAATAGAAAATAAAAGTTATAACACTCAATTAATTACTTCCTATTTCTTATTGAATAGCAATGTTTTTTTTTTTGTTTTGTGTTAATGAAATAGATGTTGTGTCTTTTTATTTATAAAGATAGAATTATATCAACTTTTTTCGTGTGGAATGTCTCATTTAAAACATTGTTTATTGAAAAAAGAATAAAAGATTATTGAGAGTATTTTAACAAACGAAAAACACAATATCAAATTATATCTTATTTTATTTGTTGTTTCTCTTAACAAAAATTTCGTAAAACATAAAAATAAAATATTCTAAAAATAAAAAAGAAAAAAACGAAATTTAAAAATAGAAGATAAAAAAAATAAATGACAAAAAATAAATGATAAAAAAATTGAAAAGAGAAATGATGACGTGGATACTAAAAAAATAAAAAATGCGAAAGGAAGAGGAAGGGGAAAAAATAAAAATAGAAAAGAAAAGCAAAAAGAAAATAAATTAACTGAGAAGTTCATTTCAATGAAGAACAAAGAACAAGTCGTCATTGATGATATTTTTGAAAAGAACGATTTTGTTAAGTCATTGAAGTTAGTAAGTAGTCCAAGGTTAGTAACTCCACGAATTAAAACATCTAAACAAATAAAAGATCAAGAACAACAACGAGTATTAAATATTCAATTTGATGTTTGTTAAAGTTGAGGTTTAAAAAAAAGAAATGAAAGAGATTGATTGAATAATATAGGAATTTGATTCAGAAGAAACGGAACAATTAGATATTTTTCAGTTAAGAATATTTTTAGAATCAGGTCAATTTCCTATTTCATCTAACCAACATTTATTCGTCAAAGAACAAAATTTAAGAGAAGTTTTAGGAAGTATGTTTCTTGATAAATCAAGTAGAATTTGTAGAAAAGAATTTGCAAAATTTTGTAATTATTTTGAACAAAAAAGAGATGAAATAGAAGTTTGTTTTTGTTGTAAGAATTATTTTTATTTTATTCATTGTTAATAATATAGTGGAATTCTGTTTCATTAATTAGTTTATTTTCACAGGCTGATAATTCTAATGTACCAAATAAATTTAAAACATATCCAACTAACCATATTACCCGTTTTGATTTAATTCATAAACAAAGACTAAATAAAGAAAATATTGTTTTGGGGGGTTCAGTTATGGATGATTATCACACACTCATAATGAATCAATTTTATCAACAAACTACAACAATTCAACTCGATGATAATATCGAATATATTACAACAGAAGAAAAAATAAGAAAGAATTCATTAGTACTTGAACCAGGAAAATACAATAGAAGAGAAGAAATGCCTTGTCTTTTCGGTACATTATTTCGTGATTTAAATCCATCAGATTTAATTAAAAATGAAATTAATGATGATGTTATAAAAAACAAAAATATAATTTATGTGATTGATTTAAATAATGTAGTGTGGGCAGTTGGTTCAATTGATAACTTAATTCTTAATTTTGCTATTTATGATCAAAGTAAAAAGGAAAAAGTATCAAGTAATTTTATTATTTCACCTAAACAAGCAGATGTTAATTTAATAATGAATAACAATGTTGGTGAGACATGTGCAATATCATTAAATGAAAGTCAAATTAAAAATGGGAAGTTATGGGGTGTATTAACTATTTATAAATTATTTGATGGAGAAAGTATGGAAGAAATATTTATAGCAGAAAAAGAATCACGAAACACCTTAAAAATTATTGAAAAAATGAGACAAATAAATGTTACTCAAAAAGCAAAAGGTGTTCAATTTCTTCAATATATTGCAACAGGAGCAATGGCATTAAATAATGATTTACTTGAAGATAGAAAGTCATATTATAATTTAAAATTATATTATGATGATAGTATTATTGATTTATGGCAATTTCTTGGAAATGTAGAAAGTGGAAAGATTAAACCAATTAATGGTTCATGGGGGTTTAAATTTGAACAGTTAAACCATTATACAAAAGCAAATTTAATTATTACTCAAGATGGAGTTGTTCAAAATGTTGATTCACAACCACCAGAAGCTAGTGAAAAAGAAAATGAAGAAGTTCCTTTATTACATGATCTTGTTATATTAAAAAATATTAATGAAATTTATCATGACTTTTATAATACTTTATTTATATCTCCTATTGAAGTTAGTATTCCTAAAGATAAACGACCAAAAAATGGTGGAATTTGTTTAATGTTTCAATTAAAAAGTAATGATGATTTAAATGCAAATAGTATTATTAAATCATTTTTTCCAATGAATTCTATGTCACCAAATTTATTAGATAAAGTATATTCATCTGTTAATTATAATAAACAAACATTCTTTACTGATGAAATTAGAGTTCAATTACCATTTCCATTAAGAGAAAAATATCATCTTTTAATCACTGTTCTTTTCATTTCATATGATGACTTTTCACAAAAACCAATGTATTATTCTGTTCTTCCTTTATTTGCAAATGGAAATGTTGTTTCAAGTATGGTTTATTCTTTACCATTATTAAAAGGAAATCTTACTGAAGGATATTTAAATCAATTACATCATGATGTAACAAAAATGAGTATTAATGTTAAGATAGATGTTCAATCTACTATTTATCCTAAAGAAAAAAATATTTATAGGTTTTTAAATGGAAAGATGGTTGGAGTAGAAAGAGCTCTTGAGTCTATTCCAGTTCAAGAAGCTATTCATTTCTTACCTTCAATTGTTAATTATTTCATTTTTCATACTAAAGAAAATTCATTAGGATTTTTTGCTTTATTTGATATCTTTGCAAAAATTGAAGGTATTGGTAAATCAGATTCTTCTAGATCAAAGTTATTATATGACTTTACTATTAATTTTACTATTGAAAATCAAGAAGAAAGTCTTGTTTCAAGACTTTTATGGCAATTTTTAATGAAAATTAAAGATGATATGGAAAAAGTAGAGAATGTAATGAAATATTCTTGGATTTTATTTACTATTTTATTTAAAGGAATAGTGATGATGACTAATTCAGGTAAAAAGTTAGATTCAAAGAATTTATCTTATCTTTCTATTGGATGTCAAAAATTTTCAAGTTTAATAAGAAAAAAGATTGTATCTAATAGTTACAAAGGGGTTTTTGAAGGAAATATTAATTTAGCTGAATTTATTTCAAGGTTGATGGGTATTATTGATAATGAACCAATTACTTCTATTATTATTAAACATCTTATTACATTAGGGTCTTGTCTTGGGAATGATGGGTTTACAAGATTAGATCGTACAAGTCCAGCATTTGTTACTTTAGGAATATGTAGAACACAATTTATTGCAACAATTGGAATTTCAAAGAATTTTATTTTATTTAATAAACCACAAGCATTAGAAGTTACAACAATTGAACATTTAAGTGATGAAATAACTCAAAAACATCTTGTCATTACATATTTTATTCGAGAACTTTTAAATATTTATACTAGAGAAGGACCTGTTGGGAAAATTGCTATTGACACATTATTGTCAATTTTACTTCGATTAGATTTTGATGTAAAGTATCAGTCAAAAGAAGATAGATGTTATATTGGAAATATCCTTTTTGGAATATTAATTTATTTATTGGATGAGTTTGATAAAATTAAAGATGTCCATTATAATCAATTCAGTGTAAGTGAAGAATCTATTAATGATATTAAAGTAATGTATCTTTGTATGTTCTTTGTTTTAAAGAATATTTCATATTCTACAATGAAGAGTTGGTTAGAAAAAGAAATTCCAACGAGAATAGAAATATTTCTTATTCATTTAAGAAGAGCATTATTATTCTTTATTCATTTCCCATGTTCAATTAATAATCCAATAGAAGAAATTAAAGATCTTATTCATACATTAAAACAATCATATTTTACACAAACAAATAATAGAAACACTGTAATGATTGAACCAATTAATTCTTTTGGTAAATCTATTTCTTCTAAACATAATAGACATTCTGGTGGATTAAATACAACTAAAATACCATCTTATGTTCAACAACCTATTGTAAAGTCTAGGATAAATAAAGTAAAGAATCTTGATAAAATAATTGAAGAATTAAGTTCTATTGTAATGGACTATGCTGAAGCTTTATTTGATCGATTTGAAAATTCTTCGGATAATGGACAATCATTAATTCGATTAGAAGAAATTGTTGCTACTACATTATTTCAAGTACATCAAAATGATGAATATACAAATAAATTAAAAGACTTTATTAGATTATTAATTCTTAGACATAAACATTTCTTATTTGAAGGAACTAGTCAATTCAGTGCAATTTTACTAAAGAATTTATTAAATCTTTGTAATTCATCTCAAGAATCTATTCGTAAGAATGCTTTGGATTTAGTTTATATAATGGTAAAGTATAATTTTATATTCTCACAAAATATAAGTAGGTCAATGTCTGATTGTGCTGTGTCATTATCAGAATTAAAATATTCTAACATTACTCTCTTTAGAAATTTAATTGACTATCTTCCTTCTTTAGCAAAAGAAGATTTTGAGACTTCTGTTAAACAAATTGATGAACTTCGTCATAGTTATTGGGAAGAAGGTCAAAAAAATATTAATTCTTTAATTCATCTTCAAAAAATTAATATTGGAGTAGAAGTTGGGGATTTAGATGTATTTCTTGTTTTTATGAATAATGTTCTTTCTAGGTTCATGAAAGTTATTGAATTAATAAAAGAATTTCATGCAACTCCAAATAATTTTTATGTAATTTTAAAAAGTAATATTATTAAAGAAATACAATCAGCAATGTTATTCTCTCAAGAAGATATTAATGCTTTGAATACTATTAAAATGAATATTGGAAAAAGTCTTGAACCAATGAAAGAAAAAATAGATGACAGAATTACACAATATCTTAATCTTCAAATTTCTCTTAAAGAACAAAAAGGAATTGTTGACCAAGAAAAAGAACATAATAATAAAATTAAAACTTCTTTAATGTCTATTGATACTTTCTTTAACAAATTACCTCAATGGATAAGTTTGTTACTTCAAGATGATTCGTACAAAGAAATCATTGAAAATGAGAAAAAAAATTGGGTAGAATGGACTAATGACATTTCTTCTTTAAAAGAAATTGATTGTATCACATTCTCTAATTTCGAGACGTTAATTCATTTGATTGATGATTTGAGATCTCAAATTAAAAAAGCACAACAAACTGATGAAGAACAAACTAAAGTCTTTGAAGTTTTAGCTCAAATGAATGAACATAAAATGTCAAGTGGAATTAATTTTATTGAACAATGTTATCGTAAATCTATGAAAGATTTTAATGAAATTAATAATAGAGAATATGACAATAATTGTATTAGAGTTATAGATGGATTAATTGAATATTGTCAATTTTTAGAAATGAAAATGGCAAGACTACGAACTGATTTTGATGATTCTATCAATAAGTTTTGTTCATTTGACTGGTGGTGTCAGGCTATAGAAAGTGGGGAAAAATTGTGTTTATATTGTATTGAATTAAGTCAAAAATATCAAGAAATGAAAGATAATTTGATTAAGAAAGAAGAATGGCATAAGAAAGAAGTCAAATATGCAGAAGAAGTTCTTAAATCATATATTTGGTCTACTGTTGGATGTGAACTAGCAAACATACGAATGAGAGAAAGTAATGATTATGTTAAAGCTATATCTTCAATATGTAAAAAAGTATGTTGTTATAAAGATAAAATTAAAGAATGGATAAAAGAAGCTCAAGAAGATTATCAATTACTCAGAGAATTTAAAGAAGAATCAAATAATTTTTCACCACCTCTAAATGTAAAAACACCCATTAAAAGAAGAGGTAAAAAAACAAGGAAATATACAATATCTTCAGTTTCTGTTATCACTGCAATTCATCATTTTGAAGAAGATATTATTGAAGAAAAATGTAAGTTAGAACAAATTGAACAATTAAATAAAGAATTTGAACAACAAGCAATTAAAGAAATTGAATATGAACGAATTAGAAATGACTATGCTATTACCTTACATTATCTTTTTACTGCAACAGAACCATTTATTCAAAACCCTCAAATGATAACACAAGCAGTAATTAAAGATGTACAAACACTTTCTCAACGATTAATTCAAGCAGAAAGTACTGACGATAAGTATAGAAAACTTAACAGATATGTTGATTACTCTATCTGTAAAGAACCTCATCATTCAAGAGTAAGTAAAATTATGTCTTTGTTTAGTGATAAATTACTTGGTTCTAGTGGACCTTCAACACTAAAAAAATCAGCAAGTGGAATAATTAAGAAAAAAACTGGGTTTCATTCTTCTGGAGGTTCAAAGAAAACAGCTCTTTCAATAGAAAAAGGAAATCAATTTGTTGATGCTGAAGGAGAATTTAATAAAGATGCTTTTATTGACGTATCTAAAAGTCAACAAGTTTTGTTTGAAGAATGTTTAAATGAACTAACAACAACCGCAGATCAAATTCTACAAAAATTAGCTGATATTAAAAGTTTAATGAGTGGAAGTTCTCCAATTCAATTGGTTGAGAAATTTATGATTTTTGCTCATGAATATCAAAGTACTGCAAGAGTTCATATAGCTTGGATTCAAAGAATGATTGAAGAATATGTCTCTTATAAAATGTATTGTGAAGCTGGCATTTGTTGTGTTCATATAGCTTTATATCTTGGACTTCCAGAAAGTGTTGACAAAAGAAAATTAAAAGAAATATGTAAGGAACCTAGTTATGATGATATTACTATGGAAATAAATAAAGAAACTCTTCTTACTGTTGTTAATAAATTAAAACAAGCATCAGACTTCTTTAAAATGGCAAATAAAATACAAATGGCTATCTACGTTTTTGAAGTATTAGTTTCTTTATTTAAAACAATGAAACAATATAAAGAATTAGAAGTTTGTCATGACAGTATGTGTGATTTATACAATAAACTTGAAACAGAGTCAAATGTTGATCATTATTATCTTATTAATAAAGACAAAAACCATCAAGGATTAGTACTTCGCTCTATCCTTTCACCAAATCAATTTGAAGCTGTTTTAAGAAAACAAGGAAATACTTCTGTTTTTGTTGAAGTTAGTCCAATGAAAGAAAACCAAATTGTAGAAAACTTCATTACAACAAATACTTTCTGTTTTGATTATAAATATGAACATGAAGATGACTGCTATAAAATATCTCGGAAACGAGATGTTATCACTATTGCCCAACCACTCCCTTCTATACTACCACAATATGAAGTGGTTTCTATTAAACAAATTGTCTTTGAACCACCAGCTGTTATTGCTGAAAAATTACAACAAAATATTGAATTTTCTTTATCTTCTTTACAGTATGGACCATTACCATTAAAGTATATTCCAAAGTTAATTTATCCATTTGAAAAAATAGATATTTTAACAATATTAAAATGTTATTCAAAAATAAAATATCCTCGCATTTTCAATTTAATACTTCAAACAAAAGAAATTATTGAAGACTCAGTCAAATACCAAACCATTACCTTAACCCAAGAACAAAAAGAAATGGTTGAAAAAACAGAAATACTTCTTACTACTCTTTCTGATGAATTATTTGAAATAAAAAAGAATGAGGAAAGAAGCAAATTATAAATTACTCTTTTGTGATATTTTTTGTTACTATTTTGAAATTTTCATTGTTATTTTTACTACTTTAATAACTATTTTACTCTTTTTTTGCTATTTCTTTTTATTTATAATGATGTTATTTTAATTTTTGTTATTCAAATGTATTTTGAAGAAAAGTTATTCTTTTTGTATTTTCATTATTTCATTTCACCCACTTCGGTAAGTGTTTTAATGTTACTCTATTCATTGTTTTTGGTTGGGTTATTAGTGTACCGTAATTGGCAGTTCAATGTATTTATTAATAAGATTATAACTATATGTGTTACACACTATACTTTTGTTATGATTTGTTTTTCATCAGAATTTAATTTTTGTGTATTGGTGTGTTGTTGTAGAGTTGAAAAGTTGTTTTGATTATAAATGCTTGTAACATTCTTTTTAATACGATTTGAATACTATTTTTACATTTTTGTAGTTAATTGATGGTATATATAATAAATACAAATATAATGAGTACTATTACTGATAAATATAAAGCAAATACATACATAATGTATTTAAACAAATTTTAAACAATTTTTCATTAGAATTAGAGAATAGAATAAGTTATTTTAATTCATTTATATTATTATTTAGTGTTAATAAAAAGGGACATACAGAAAAAAAGAAATAATTGTGAGAGATAAGAAATAGAATAAAGAAGATAGAACATGAAAAAATCCAGTTATAATTTCAATAACTTTCAATAAATGGAGAGAATATTTAATGAAAAATATCAATTATTAGATATAACCATTATTGGATTTTCTTCATACTGAGAAGTGTTTATTTCAGTTTCTTCAATATGCTCTATTGGTGTAATAGAGTTCATTTCTAGCATACTCGCATTAGATTGTTCTGCTTCTAATGTGCTGCCAGAATTGAATGTGTAAAACATTAAGTCTTTCATATTTTTTATTATTATTGTTCGTAGGATTTTGGGGAGGTCTAATTGTAATTTCAGTACTTTTAATCTTCTTGCTGACTCTTTGTGTATTAATCCATTTATTGATAATATAACAGATATTATTTCTACATATATTAATTCTCTATTATTTCTTAATTTCTCTTGTAATTATTTGTATTTATTTATTTTATGAATATAATTTAATTCTAAATTATTATCTTGACATATAGCTACATCTATAATATATCCTTTCTTTTCTGTAATATTTTGATAATATATCTGGTCTTCTAGCATGGAAAGAATGGTCACTAACCAATAAATCTTTATTGTAAGTTATAACCATTTTATCATTATTAATACATTTTGGGTGATTATTAAAATCAATTGAATCAAATTCATTAAAATATGTAATTAATAAATATTTATATATTTGTTTACATACATAATCATATTTTGATATTTGATTCTTTTTCATTACATCATAACAATATATGACTAATAGATGCAATTGTGTTAGGGCAATGTTTACAATATTTTAAAGCATCATTTTGGAGTAATTTTGATTTAATACTTCCTGTCATACTTACACCTTCTTGCATCTTTACTATTTGGAGGAATGCATTTCTTTTTATATTTAATGACCTCCATGTGGTTACTGTTAATTTCTTATCATTGAAAGTGCCATTTGCACATCTTATATTCACCACATTTCTTTTCTCTCCATTCATTTAAATATCTATCATTTAATTCATTATTTACCCATTCAAATACTTTCTTTACATCGTGTTTTATTTCATTTATTTCTATTATCTCCATTAATTCATTAAAATTAATCTTCTTACCAAATGCTTTCTTCATTCTTTTAATTATTCCATTTGGACTTTCTTTTATTACTTCTATCATTTCTCATATTCCTGTGCTTGATATTTGTATTTTAAATATATTCTTAATAATTCTTTACCACATTCATCTCTTGCTGACATTAATCCTAATCCCAATTCATTTATTTTAACATATAATATACTTTTGGGAATATTTCTACTATATAATTGGAGTTGTATCAATGATTTTCTTATCTGTTTATCTATCTTCTCCAATTCTCCTAGTTTATATTTGACAATACTAAATCCATATCTTAATTTGGAGATTATATCACTATTAATCTTTCTTATTGTATTGAGGTTGCTGTATTTCATAGTATTTAATGATGATAAAATAGAAGATACATCATTTAATATTCTTGTACAATATTTATTAATATTTATTTTATCTCATATTTCAATACCAAGATATTTATAAGGATTGTCATTAGTTACTCTTGGTAATTCAGCTAATTCACCATTTATTTGACTATTAATATTATTCATTATCCCACTCTTTTCTACATTAATTTTTAATCCTATTGCATTAAATATTTCTTTAGTTAATTTGTGTGCTTTTTCCATTTCATCGAGATATTAGTTATTATCTTTAAATCGTCCATATACAATATATGGTTTAACTGGACTTGTTTTTCTTCTCCATTCATTTTAATATTTAATTTGCTTATTTGTTTATCTAGTTGTTTAGATAATATATCAATGGATAATATAAATAAAAGTGGAGATAGGCTATCACCTTGTATTATTCCTCTTTCTACATTAATCATACTATCACTTTCTTGATTGTAATACAAATTAAGTTGTGTATTATTTAATGTATAATATACTATTAATTACTACAAGTGGGATATTAAAATATATTAAACATTGTTTAATCCATTGGTGGTTAATACTATCATATGCTTTGGATATGTCATAATATGTTTCTACCCACTTCTATTTATTCTTTATTAATAATTGATTGATTATAGTGATGTATAATAATTATTCTTTTGATGAATATGTATATTTCTTACATCAAATTTGATTTAATGAAAGTTGTTTTTCAATTTGATTTTGCATCAATTGATTTTCTATTTTCATCTTTAATATTGATGTATATACTTTTAACAGACAATTTAAGCAAGTTATTGTTCTGTAATTCTGTGTGTCTAATTTATCTCATTTTTTATATATTAATATTGTCCTTCCTTGAATAAAGTGAGGAGGTATTTCATTAGGATTGTTTAACCATTCATTAAATAATTTTAATAAATATTTCATTGGTTGTTCTAAATATTTAATCAAAAATCCTTGTATTTTATCATTTTCAATTTAATTTTAAATTAGCAATAAATTTAATAGCACAATCTAATTCATTGGGAGTGATTATAGCCATTCTATTTTAATTCTATTTTCAATTAATACTTCATATAAATTAATATTCAGGAAATCTATATTAGTGTTAGTTTCATAGATTCATTTCCAGAAATTAATAATGGAGATATTATCTGGATATTCATCTTCTTTAGATTTATTTAGGTGTTGCCTTTTTCCGTATTTTATCATTTTATAATTCCATCTTATTCTTTTCCAATTATTCTTTCTTGCTTCTATTTCTATTATTTTCATCTTTCAGAGGTATTTATAATAGTTTATTTGTTCAATTGTTTTTATTTTAATATGGTATATATCATATTTCTTAATATGTAATATTCTTTTTAATTTCATATATTGTTTATTATGGAGTAAATCTCTCAATCTACATATTTTTGATTGTATTATTCTTTCTATACTTTTCTTTCAACTTCTTTCTTGTTTATTTTTATTAATGATGTTAATAGTGGAAGATACTGATTTAATATAGTGGTAATATTCATCTAATGTATTGATTATTATTTCATTTTTATTAATAATATTAATTATTTGATGTACTTTCTTCTTATTGTAATAGTAGTTAATAAATTGTACATCTTCTTGTTTTTTCTTTTCTTCTTCTTTAAATATTTTCATTACTTCCTCTTCTTCTATTTCTTCTTTCTTATTCTTGTTCATTCTAGTTATTATTTCTTTTAATTCATTATCTTGACATTGATGTTTTATTATTTCTTCCTCCATTATTCTATTGATTTCTCTTTTAATTTCATTCTTTATTTTAAATGTCTTCTTTAATATTTCTTTATATTCATTAATATCATTAACTTTAGTTCCAAATTCTTGTATTAATCTTTCTATTATTTCTTCTTTAAGTTGACATCTTAATTTTCTTTCAAATAATTTCAAAGCAAAACATTTATAAAGTGTTAAAATTTCTTCTTCTCTGTCTGTTTATTTCAATTATTTTTTTTTGATTATCTAATTCTAATGTGGTGATCTTCTTATCCTGAATATCCATTTCTTCAATGGATTTCTGCGTTAACTTTCTTTTTTTTGGAAGATCATCTTCACTTGATGATATTTCATCAGCTACTACCACATTGTGGTGAGTTCATTCACAATTTGTGTTTCTGATGAGTCTGTTATATTGTCATTTACCTCATCTTTCTTCTTTTCTTCCTGTGTATTTTTATTTTCTAATTTAGATAATTTATCTTTCAAGAATATTAATTGTTGTGTTAAATTGTTTACTTCAGACATTTTCCTTTCAGATTCAGCAGGGAATTTAAATATTCTTTTATCACATTCTTATTTTGTGTTTAACTCATTCTTATGAATATTCTTTAATGCCATAATATCTTTTGTTAGTTTCTTAATGGTTTATTCTTTTATTTGTATTTCCTTTTTCATTTCTTCTTTCTCTTTCATATCCTCCTCCACTTTCTTTTCTATTTCTTTTATTCTTTTTTCCTTTTTACTGTTTTCTTCTTCCTCTTCTTCAATATTCTTCTTTTTTTATTAAAATCTTTATCATCGTCTTCTTCACTTTCAACACTCATTACATAGTTATTGTATATTCTATTATCATTAATCTCAATTGGGTTGTATTGATTATTGTCTTCTTCCATCGTCATACTAATAGTCTCTTCTTCCTTTCTGATTGTTTTTGTTTTTTCTCGTGCAAGAAAATATCATCTTCTCCATATTGTTGATGATGTATATTCTTTAATCTTGGTATTTTTAATTTCTTCTACTTCTTGTGGTGTAAGTATTTTAATTTCTTCTTCAATGAGTCTTTTCCATTATTCTTGGTTTTGTATTTCAATTATTTCTTTTCTTTT